CACTCACTCACTCACTCACACTCACAGACACGCGCAAGGGTTTTGACACCGTCCCGATAATCAAAAAGGCAACCGCAATCACACCGAGGGACATGCGAAAAAGGCCGCAGCATACTTCTGCATATTTCTAAATGCTGAAGCCACAACGCCTCCTATGGTGACTCCCCTTATGCCAGAAGCTGCAAGGCCTTTAACGCATTCTCGCGAAATCCTAGTAGATGGCTCCAAACCCTTACAGAGCTTCAAGGCTGAACTGAATTTTGGCTTGGAGGCACCTGCGAGGCACGGAAGGACCTCGCCGCGCCTGCGGCCGAAGCCCCGACAGCTGGGCGCCCAAGGAATGTTTGGAAATGGAGTGGGATGGGGTCAGCGTTTGATAGGCTTTGTTGTGTCAGATGCCGGGCTCAGGGTTTATATGGGTTTATACAGGGTTAAAGCCCTTACACTTTAGTTTGAAGAGGAGTTTCCTTGGAGTCTTCCAGGGTTCCCTTTTTTTGACAGCCAGAGGTTGCCACCAGCCGAGGCCGTCGCAGTGAAATGCGCCCCACAAGCCATAAGCAAGATGCGCAAGATAGGGGCCTTTTTATTTGGTGTTACTCCTTAGTGCTCCTTTTATATCTCCACAATAATATGACATCAAAACCCTATTAGAAAGATTGATGCCCGAATGTTAATCAGGATAGCTAAATTAAGAGCGCGAGTTGTACCGCAAGTACGTCAACTTGGTCCCGAAGTTTCCCCCGAACCTCCAGCCTTTATCACACTGAAATCGCTAAGCCCTGAACTCTGTAGCCTAGCGTCGTGATTTTAATTGTTTGCTTTTGGGCCTCTGCCCAGGTCATAGTCATGGGAGATGGCTGTGCAAGAGGCCAAGAAGTCTTCGTACTGCTGTGGATTTCTTGGGATAATTGCTTAGAAACCCCTAAACCCTAATCTTCTTCCAGCCCAACTTCCTACAAGGGTCTGGTTACAAAGACTTTGGATCGGTGGTGATGTCATTTTTGGATGTTGTGTCGTCTCGCCGCCGGGGATGCAAGACAGGCCCAAGCTGTAAGTCGGAACTTCTGCCCGGACTGGCTGGCTTTGGGCTTGCGAATTTTCGATCAGGGCTCTGATTGAAGTCTGGAGAAACGGGTTTTCTACGTTGCACCATGTGGGTCGGCATATGTATCAGCGAGCAGGACAGCATGCTTGCTTGAGCAGGGTGCACCTCATAATTCTGTAAACTCGGTGCAACTACGCGCGCTCAACACATAGGGCATTGGGCATGTTTAAACATATAATGTTCCTGAACTGTTGGTGTCGTGATGGCTGCTCGGTATCCAGATGAGATGTGAGCAGGCGCAGGAGCACCTCCACCGACAAAAACTAGTACGAGTACACTGGAACAGATTGAACAGACAACATGCGCATGTCTGCCGTGCCTTGTTGAACACAGTGTCTTTGTGGATTTACACATGCATGTCTTCAAACTTGCTAAGGCAGATGGGTAGGTAGATAGATAGACCCAGATAGATCCACAGTGCATCTATGTACAGGTCTATGTGCTAAATTAGCGTCACAGATGCATGCAGTTTCCCAGCATAGTGTGGACGTGTGCACGTATGCCGGTGCTGGTTTGATCCATGTCCTTTTGTTCACATATGTGCATATGTGAAAGCATGTACACTTGCCTGCATGTGTCGAGGTGGACAAGACTGTCAACATGAATGCACATGCACACATGCGTAGGTAGATGCATATCAGTGTCTGTGGAGAGAGAGAGAGAGAGAGACAGAGACAGAGAGAGAGAGAGAGAGAGAGTGAGTGAGAGACCAACATCAACTCAACATACGAACGACCACCACAGATTCCAAACAGAAAGAGATAATTATAGCTTTGGCTTCATCGGAGCCGTAGCTTCCCGTGAGGCCTCGCGCAAATTTGGGATATCCGATTGTCATCCTCCGCCCCTCCCCGTTGCTTGGTACCCTCGAGCATGGGCAAGAGCCTTCAAGCAAGGACAGCAGAGCACGTGCATGCATCGTTTGGGCCTTTCTTACACAGATCTCCAGCATTGCTATCTTTTGAAGGGTTTATGCGATCTAATTTACAACAAACCAAGTACACAGCCACGAAGGATTGAAGGCCTCAGACGCTTTACCCGGTGTGGTGTGATTTTGCATTCTGCGGCCCTTGAAGTTCGACTGCAAGCTGAGGTCAAGGACCCTGGTCTCAACGACGCATCGCAGGCGGCGCACATCATGAACCCTTAGTGGGATAAGGGTTTTTTTCTGCCCCCGCAGAGTGACGGGACCGTGAGGGCAAGAGCTAGTCTTCTTCTGCAGTACAAAAGCCACATGTGAAGACAGCCCAGTTCCAGAGCTGTGTGTGGAATTCCTGCATCGACGGCAGCAGCCGGTGCTGCGCCTCTGCCACCATCATCACCACCAGCAGACGACGACTACTACTGCTGTTCCTACCCAACAAAAGAGACACAAAGTTAATGAAGCTCGAGTCCTACCCTGAGGCACTTTTCAGCTACCCTAGAAAACGTCGCAAAGAATGCGAGGCCGCAGCACAGTCGCCGGCCATGGCGGCTTTCGAGCGCCTCAAGGGCTGCGAGGCTGGGCCTTAGCATGTTAGGGGCATGGGAAAAGCTAGGATTTTCAAGCGTGGACCCTAGGACCCTAGGAATGAAGGCTGTTAGGGTTTAGGGCATTGCAGTCTCTGCGCAACAAAAGGGGTTCATAGGCATAGTCCGTGTCAAAGCATGTGCTGCATCACGACGCACAGACATGAGGGAAGGCTTAAATGCAAAGGGACCCAAGAAGGAGCGCCTGAAACTCAAAGACAGATCCAGGCACAGCTGGAGTCGGCCCGGGCTGAGCTGCGCACGACAGAAGATGCTTTGCAGACTCTTCAGGTGGCATCGCTTGTGAGCGGGAAGGGCTTGATCGATTGTATTTTGGAGGTTTGAGATGCTGTCATTTGCGCCTGAGGCCTTGGTTGAGTTTTTGCATGCCGAATTTCTAAACCCTTCACGCCCGCTCGCCCCGAGCCCAATTCCTGAAATCAGTTTGGGATGGCAGGTTTCAAACATGGACGATGCGTCGCACACCCTGGGTAACCTTAAAGATGAGCGTCACAGTTAATAAGCCACATCCTCGAGTAATACAGTTTACAGCACTACCATACTATTGCATACCCGAAGGCCAACATCGAGGCTCCTGTGCTTTCGCTATGTCTCGTCCCAAACCTGCCAAAGACGCATAAGCTTTGCTCGGCCCATGATGCCTGATGTTTAGACGCCGCTTGTCGGAGCTTCCGGGATGAAGCGAATCGCTGGCACGCAAGATCTGCCTGATGTCGACACTCCCCATGAATCCTCAAGGCCAAAAGAGCCGCTGTCATGCGAGCCGGGGTTGGTCCGTCAAGGACTCCGACCCCCTAATTTCAATCCTCCCGAAGTAGAGTTCCTACGTCGGCTCGGTGCCCGGGACCCCGTCGCAGGTTAGTCCAGGGCAAGCTTGGAATGACCTCGCACAGCTGGAGGCCGGGGCGATGTGAGGTTTCAGCTCATCCCAGAGCCAGGGGACGGACAACTGAGTGACCATCTTACATTTGGGGGTCGAATAAGGATGAGAAGAAGGGTTGAATTCAAAAACTCTTGAGCCTAGGTTATAGGACCAGGACCCCTTGTGCATGCCCTTTGGCAAAGGCTCACTTAGTTGCCTCTGAGAGCAGCAGCGCATAGAAGAACGGCACCACGGTCATCATGAACCAACATGTCTCAGCCTCACAGGGTGCAGGGCCCAAGGTTCCCAGATCAATGCTAGAAGTTTAAGGTTTAGGGGTGACGCTTCGAGCACCTGAGAGATAGAGAGATAGAGGGTTTAGGGGTTTGCCCCTGAAGTCGCCATAGGCCTGGATGCAACAAAAAGAAAAGGGCACTCAGGGTTCAGCCGAAGCCCCGGTCGCCCCACCAGAAGGCTCGACTTGATCAGCTCCAGTGCAAGGGAATCGACTTTGCCGCTGCCCGAGTTCAGGGCTTCGCCGTTGCAGGGTCCTAGGGAGTCGAGGATGCAGGGTTTAGGGTTTAGGGTAAGGGGATCTGGCTAGTCACCAAGCCCAGTTGCAAAAAAGGCTGTAGGGTTTGGGGTCTGTAACCTCTTTGTGGGAAACCACGACATGCTTCTCAGGAGGCTGAGGGCCCGGGCCTCTTATGTCCAATGAGTTCAAACGTACTCGGAAGATGGAACATGCCCGTTGCCTTTCGAACCAGTCTGCGGTGCCATGCATGAACACTTCTTACATGGCTAGTCCTCATACGCTCATAGACCATCCAACCTGGTTGCTCTTCTGGTTAACCAGTTTTGGACCAGGACACAAAGCAAGAGAAAGAAAGTAGCCCTGCCATGGAGGGTCGAGGCAATCCTAGTTTTGATGACCTACCCGGCACATGGTGGATGTGAGCTATTTGGTACACGGGCACGATTCCTGTGAGTTGTGTCCCTTCCTGAGGACTTCGGTGACGGAGTCCTTGATTAACCTGAGCCGTGTTGGTATTGTTGTTATGCCGTTATGCTTTCGAGACCCTCCCCCACACGCAGAAGCTTGCACCGAGCGTCCCGATTTTTGTGGTAGACGAGGTGTCGACAGAAGGCCTCAGCACAGAGGACGGGCATGTGTTCGGGTTGAGATGTTGCAGATGTGATTCAATGTATCGACAGCAAGTTCTAACCACTTTGTGATTTCAGCCCGTGGTAGTCCCCACGGGCTTGCATGCATGTCAACGGTGTTTGGCATCTGTGCTTTCCTAGACCTGACAGGAAGGATGGAGGGCACAATGGCAAACGTGAAGCAATCGCTTTAGATTTTTGTGCGGTCGATCAAGTGCCCAGCCTGCTGAAGCTCTGATTGGGCTTTTTCTGGGCGTGTCTTCTGATGTCTTGGCATCCATTCTCCTTGATAGTATTACAGCAGAGGAAACACTTGCAAAGTCTGCAGCCGAAGCTGGTACCAGATCCACAGTTGTATGTTTTTTGGTTGGTGGCTTCTTGTCGGTCATGGCGCCCTGTGACCACTGGATCCGTTGTTATGATCCAAAACCCAATGCCTCAGACCCTGGAGAATGGCACATGCGGCGTCCAAGCTTTCGTCATTCGCATCGAAAATCCCGGCCCCCCTGGAACGCCTGTGGCACGAGCCACCAGGCCTAGCCGCGCCAGCCCCATGATGGCCCCATGCAGTGAATCCAACCCCTCTCGCCACAAGCCCGAAACCCTAGATTAGCTTGGCATGCGCAAGGATGACACGCACAAATCGAAAAGTGTACCAAGTTACGAGAGTCTAAATACCCTAAGCCAATAAAAGCCTGAGCTGCATTGGCCCTGAAGCTTCTCAGGATGAAGAAAGTGCTCGGACCAAACGGAGGTTCGGCTTCAGGGGGTCCTTCACGGGAGGTTTTCAATTTCATGGTTTAGAGTTGTTTAGGGTTTAGGGTAGCTAGCCATACTATGTCTCCGGAGGGAGGCCGCCTCAATTCGTGTTTTCCCTGAATCCTACAGTGTCCTGAAGCAATCCATGCATCAATCCTCCACCAATCCTCTACTAGTACGAAGTTGACACTGATCCGAGGCTAAGCCGGAGCCCATCCGACAACCCCGCGCATGCGGCACAACACTGTAGGAAATTCAAACCACGACAGTGCAGAAGACCCAGTAAAAGCTTCGTGACATATGGTCCTAGGTGACAGTTCGGACCTTCGTTTCCTAAGGGTCGCGAGCCAACGGGTTCAATCTCAAGGATTGGGTTTGTGCTGGCTTTGAACAGCTAGTATCAGTGATCCTGTCGAGAGTCTAGGCTTCAGGGGTCGAGGTTGAACGGAGGTTTTGGATCCCTTTGTGGATTTACGGTCCGACGCCTTGGACGCGAGAGTCAGGATAGGGATTCTTTAGCTCGGGTCGCCTTGAGGAACAATTAGCAAATGTTTTTAGCACACGCAAGTGAGCACACGAGTGTTGCTAGAGTTCCAAGTTTCACTGCTAGAGAAAGCACTCAACGCAATTTATGCGATCACTGCTAGTACCACCACCGCCGCCGCCACCACCACCACCGCCGCCACCACCACCACCACCACCACCGCCACCAGCAGCAGCACCACCACCACCACGACTACTACTACGACGACGACGACGACCACCAGTACTACTACTACTACTACTACTACTACTGCTACTACTACTACTGCTCCTACTACTTACTACATGCTACTACATGCTACTACTGCTACTGCTACCGCTACCGCTATCGCTACCGCTACCGCTATTGCTACTGCTACTGCTACTGCTACGACGACGACTACTAGTAGTTCTATTGCTCCTACTTCTGCATCCGCTTCTGTGCAACATATTTGTTGCTAGGATGGTCTTGCACGAATCGGACATAAGAGCTGGTGTCTCCCGCGCTTTAGGAGGACATGTCGCACATGTCACGAGAAGTATGCCCAGACTGTGACTTTTTCGACTTAGGCAGGGTATCTGAGTTCTCGTTTGAAGCACAGCTTGGACTTGAGCTTGCGCCCAATCACGCAGTGAGCAAAGCAAGGCGGTCACCGCAACAACCAGACCGGATTCACGTTTCTCGAAGATTGGGCAGAAACCTCTAGACAATCCAGCAATTTTTAAATGTGACGCTGACTGGTGACTAGCCTCGATTCCTTCCGGTGTGCAGCTTAGGTGCAGAGATCTACGGTCAATGGGCAACCAATATCTGTTGTATCTTGACATCCCTGCCGTAAACCCTGAGGCCTGGGCCCCGAATTCTATAGACTGTGATCCCCAGATCCTAAAATGCGAACACCTTCTCCGTTCGTCGCACACTACTACTGCTGAGTGCATTTGGGTCAATTATTTCAATTATTTGGGTGGCCCAAATAATTGAACGCAGGTTTCAGACCGACATTGCCGCTTGCACCGTTCTCGCCATTTGCATAATTAACTCAACTTCAGACTTGGACAGAGGTCTGAGATGTCGCCGAGTTCTTCCACCATGCATGTCAATTGTTTGTGGTAGAGTTTTTCGTAGGTTCTGATATCTGCGAAGCTTAAGCCGTAGACGCATGCTTGCAATGACCACTTTGCGTCATGGGCTAACAGGCTAAACAGCGAAGATTGTTGACAGGGCTTGCATCATGTTGCAGGGAATCCTTGCGGCAGCAGCACCCGAAGCTGGACGGGTTCCAGCCACGTATCCTACCCCACCTCGGAATCTCCGTGCAACCTTGTGTTGACTACAAACAGAATACAGCCATGTATCAGGTCAGATGCCACACGGAGTCGGAGTGGAATTGTCAAGACAGGGGCTACATGCTTGGGATTTCGAGATTGGTCACATTGGACCTGCATGACTATGCGGCGTGCTTTGCGCTTTCTACGATGCTCGTACGCCATCACTAGGTCATCAGGTCTGACAGAGAATCTGGAATCTGCTGAGATTCAGAAGATGGCTTTGCAGGCAGCTGACGAAGGCTGTGGCCAACCTGCAGGATCAGGTGCGACTTAAGTTCGACATTGTTTGGCATGGAAATATTGTGCAATTTAGCCGGTCGGTTGGATGGATCCGAACATGCTAGCCACTGGCCTTCGAGTTGAAGGCTGCTCTTGCGTTTCGGGTCTAGGGTTATCGATTGTGCGAAACTGCTGTCCGTGCTTGCGCCTGTGGCCCTCAATTTGGCCTGTTACGAAACACACAAACATAAACCAGCAGGCAGTCCGAACTCTGCATGAATCAGCACTATTCCGCTCTCGTAGTTCCAACTTGAATAAGGGAGGACCTTTCAGTGGCCGCTTCCTGTTCCAAGTAAACCCTGGCCCAGCAGGTTTTGTTGCCAAAGATGCGTGCGCAACGTTCCACGCTTCGTCTTCCGCGATCAAACAGAAGTACCGTTGTGCACTCTAGGATGTTGATCGGATTGTATAGCGATTTAGAGCACCCGAACCCTGATTTGTCAGGTCGAAGCAGTCTTCGACCGCCTCAAAAGTGCTCGGGGAACTTGAGCCCGAAGCTTGGCAGAGCCTTGCCACTGCACAAGCCTCAAGTGGTCGGTTTGTGTGGGTGCCAGCTGTGTCTATTCTGGGCTTGCTTGTGTCCTGGAGGGTGGGCATCATGAGGACACGGCTGCATGTTCATCTTTGTATGCCGTGTCTGTGCAGATGCAAACAAAACAAAGACGAACAGAGGAAGCGAGCCAGCTTCTAGTTTTCGTATAGCGTATAGCATGACAGGAAGAGACAGCCGTGCAGGAGCTCTGACATGTGGAGACATCAAGAAGTTAAGGTCAAATCCCTGAACAGAGTCAGCTTCTAGTTCATTGTAGCATATGATATTATTTTTTGTATATTATAGTATGTCATAGTATACCATCGCATATAACAGTATATCATAGCAAAATGTCGTATGTCATAATACAGGGGCTTGGGGCCTCGTGGCCGGCATGACCCTCCCACACCCGAAGCCCGAAAACCTGGAAATCGGCTTCATGTGGCCTTAGTACTGCAGTGCCTGAGGAAGCCAAGATTTGTGAGGCCGACTGGCCGGATAGTTAGGGTTTGTGTTTTGATGATGTGTCCTGCAAAGTTTCCGACTTCGAAGGCTCTGAGCAGCTCACGCCTGCGTTTCGCCCAACTCATTGCGCGAAAGTGAACGACTGCAGTGGCCTAGAGCTACGACACCAAAAGTGAAGGAACTAGACTTCATGCTCTAGTCTACGCCCCTTGAGTCATGCCTGCTTGTTTTTGTTCTATTTCTGGGGCACCCTTATTACAATCGAGTATTCTAGGGCAACGAGTTCGGGGAGCTCAGGGGTATCCTGCTGCAGGCTCGACAGTCAAATTTCACTATTGCCGAGGAAGACTGTGATGATAGTTTCGGATTGTTGGGGTCGCTTGTCGGTTGTAGTTGTAGGTAAGCAACACGAAATAATGAATACTTCGAAACCCAGACTTTCTTGATTTTCTTTCCGAATATTCAAGGTTACATGGCATGTGTTATAATATACTGTGCAGATATGTTAACAAATACGTTGTATCAATGTTACCCGGTTGCATGCAGATATGCTTTTATACCATACACTATAGCTGCTCCGAGCCCGTTTCTCGCCTTGCGGTGTGGCGCGAGAAGTTCGGAAACTTCGAACTTCGAGCCTCCCCGCTTCGCTGTTTTCGCAGATCTGTGCGCTCAGCAGAAGGCCTTATGGGTTTAGGGTTTGAGTGAGGCGGACACGAGGGCACATGCATTGCAGCCCCTCCTCAAAATGGATTTAGGATTTGGGGTCTTTCGGGTTACTTTCGGGTTTGAAGGTTCAGGGTTTCGGTGGGGGCTTGGCTTGATCTTCGAGTTTTTGGACTTGTTGGCACGGCGATGTGGGCTACAGCATCTTCAGACACTCTAGATATTCGTTACTGTAAAATCCTGTACACTCTTGCCCTGAGTTCTTTTAGAGATAGCGCCCAGCCGACTCAGTGCATCAGGTTGAGTTGCCGAGACTATGTTCGGTGTTGAGTTTTGTGTAGTCCGAGGGGAGTCCAGGGTTGGGCATCGCCATATGCTTTGATTTAATTATCTATGCGAAATGGAGGGGCTTCCCACAAGCTACTTGGACGTTTTTAATCCCATTTTCAATAATCCAATTTGGTCCAATCCTTCCGGGGAGTGTCTACTACTGTTCTACTACTTGTTCAACGCGCAATCCCTCACAATGTGGATCTGATAACTGTTGTCGTAGCGGCACAGGGGTTCGGCACTCAGTGGCTGTAAGGCAAGTTAGGACATGTAGGTGGCTTGGTAAAAGCCAAGTGGCCTGCATTCAGGCGTGCTCGCATAGCAGCTTCGGTGAGCGAAAAGCAAGTGCAGGGCTACTGTCGACGTTCCAGTCTAATAGGAAGTACACACGCACAAAGACACACACGAGCGTCTGTGCAGCCGAAGTATAGAAATGAGCGTCGATCTTTTGGAGCTAGCACGGGTTTGAACGGGCTCGGCTTGATCGCTGGTCATAGAAGTTCTGCAGACCGTGCCAAACATGAACGAACCCATACTCGTTGCTGAAACCTCACGCATCGAGCTAAAGTGACTTCAGCTGAGTTTCAGAACTGATGGGCTGATGAATGTTATATGCTTATTTCGTAATAGAGTTGGCGCGGCCCGCTGCATCTGGAATGATAATTCAAGGGGCGTAAAGTAACAATTGTGTGTGCAGGTGCACTGAGGTTTTCACCAGCAGTCTTCGCGATGAGAATGGTTGTTGCCGCAGCAAAGGCCGTTGTGGCCCTCCTCGTCGTTGTCGTAGCAGCCACTGCAGTATTAGCACAGCGACCATCACCTCCACGATCGTCAGCATTTTCAGAATCGTCAGTTTCACATCATCGTGTTCATCACATCATCACCTGTCACATCTTTTCACCATCAGCGACTTCATCGCCAAGACTCATCATCGTTTTTGTGTGAATGGTCTTGTTCCTTTGGCTCAGAGCAGTCTTCACCATCATCGCTATCGTAGTCATTAGCAGAAGGTGCAGTGGCAAGCTGCTGCTGCCGCTTCAGCAGCAGAGCCGTTGCCACCGCCACCTAGAGCCAGAAATAGCAATACCGTCATCACCTGCACCGTCAGCAGTGGCAGGGCAGAGTGCCATCATAAGCAGCAGCATTCACATCTCAGGTTGCCATCGAGCAGTCGTAGTGGCTGTTTCTGATAATAGCTGCTCGCAGGTAGACTTGGAGACAACACACCCCAACGACTTCGCAGTGCTCGTGGAGGTGGGTGCATAGAGACACAGGCAGCGAGACATGCCCTGTGCCCCTAATGTAGCCGTGTCGCACCTGTGTCCTGCCAGGCCACGAAAATATGTCAGCATCCCAAGGAATCTGAACCTCATTGTCAATACTATTTCGGCTGCACAGAGTTCCTTGCCCACGGCCTCATAAAGCCTTCATAGCCCACTTGGGATCTTCTGATTGTGTGCAGTTTACGGCTCCTTTTCCCCGACCCGAAGCTTCTAGACGCTGAAGCCTGAATCCTTCTGCCAATTGTGCGCCGGGGTTTAGGCTGAACCCTTCAGAGTTCGAGTTCTAGCATGCAGGCTCTTTGCGACACACTGTGCGGCCGAAAGGAACTTCAGTAGCCAAGGTTCTGGAGTAGTTACATGATACTGTCATGACACATGGGCCAACATGACTGCCGCATTCATCGAGTTATCCATGCTCGGCAGCCCGTGAACCCTAAACCCTAAACCCTATAAACGGTGTGCAATGAACGTGTCGAAACTGAAGATTTAAAAAAAAACCCTAAACCCTAAACACCCTAAAAACCCTAAACCCTAAAAACCCTGGTACCCTAAAAGCCCTGAACTCCAAAATCCCGAAAAACCGAGAAGCTGTTCGTCCCAGGGGTTGCCTCCGTCGGCGAAGGAAGAGTCGGCGGAAGCCTTAGAAAGTAAGGTGGTTCAGTCTTTACGCAGGGCCCCTTGAGCCTTGGTTGTGCAATATCTCGCATCCATCGAAGCTTGCCTCTGCAGTAGAAACTGTAGTATGGATGTGGGGGGCCAAGTCGATTGCTCCCGATTTTGTATCACCGTGTAAGACCCATGCCCTCAAGTTGATGTTCATGCTCGGGCGGAGGAAGTCTGCGGTGTACATGTCTGAGGACGGAAAAGCCACATGTAGCGCGAACATGCCAGGAGGAAAATGGAAACGCCTTAGCTGCAGTATCCAGACCTCAGGACATCAGGGAGTTCTTTCAGAAGAATGCCATCAAAGGGCGACCGAATGTCGAGGTCCCTCTCTTTTGCCGGGATGTGCTGGTTCTCGAGGATGTATTTGTCCGGGCAGCACAGCCTTCCGGCTTGATTCAGATCCATGTATGCGCTGCTAGGCTCAGACTTTCCCCCCCCCACACCTTTCCTTCTCTGCGAGAGACGTCATAGCTTTCGGCTTTCACCACACGGCAGTCTCGGTGCTCACAGGCTGTTTTTTTTCGTGCAGTGCCGTCCCGGTTCCGAGCATAAGCTGCCGCCACAGGTCGTGAAAGTGGTCATTGGCTGGAACCTCACGCAGTTTGAGAAAACGCGATGTGCTCAGGCACATGGATTCAACTTCCCTTGGCGTGTAGAAGTCGCACTTGCTGCACGTGCTTCGAATGTCACTGAGGCCAACAACAGCCAAGACTGTCACACACACACACACACACAC